ATAGTATTAGACTAATGACAGTTGCAGAAGAGGAATCAGTCAGGAGCTATTAACAGTTTAAGTGATACACTTTTATGAAGAAGTGGGTTTTTAATGATTTTTTGAAGGAATGGAGACTGAGTGAGCATCTAACGGAGGAGGGAAGCGAGTTCCACAGGATGGTGCAGCCCTCGAGAAATCTTGAAGGCGAGCATCAGAGGTGGGAGTACGGACAGAAGATAGACGTAAGTCTTCAGCAGATCGTAAGGGCCTAGACGGGACATACTTGTGTATAAGGGAGGATAGATAGGTGGGAGCAGCATTATGTAGCGATTTGAAAGCAAGAACCAGAATTTTAAATTGAGCTCTATATTTTATAGGAAGCCAGTGTAGGGATTGACAGAAGGGTGAGGTATGGGAGGTGCGGGTGGACAGGAAGACGAGCCTTGCCGCCGCATTCATTATGGACTGTAACAGCGCTAGTTGGGAGCACGTAAGACCACTGAGAAGCGGTTTACAGTAGTCAAGGCGAGAAAGGACAGTGGAATGGACCAACACCTTAGTCGCATCTGGCATTAAGTAGGGGCGGATGCGCGCAATGTTTTTTAGATGGAAATGACAGGATTTGGCGATAGATTGAACATGAGGCTTGAAGGAGAGGTCGGAGTCAAAGAGAACACCTAGGCAGCGAGCCTGCGTGGTGGAGCTGATGGTAGCACCGTTGACTTGGAGGGAGACAGACACAGGAGTAACAACACTTGAGGGAGGAAAGACCAGAATTTCAGTTTTGGTCAAGTTTAGTTTAAGGAAGTGGGCAGCCATCCAGTTAGAAACATCAGAGAGGCAGTCAGAGACACTAGTCAAGAGGGACGGGGAGAGATCAGGAGAGGACAGGTAGATTTGCGTGTCATCTGCATAGAAATGATATTGGAAGCCAAAGGAGCTAATGAGTTTACCAAGGGAGGCAGTATAGATGGAGAACAGTAGGGGACCAAGGACTGAACCTTGGGGGACACCAACAGAGAGGAGTTGGGGAGATGAAGCAGAGCCAGAGAAAGAAACACTGAATGAGCGATGGGAGAGGTAGGAGGAGCACCAGGAGAGAGCAGTTTTATGTAGACCGATATTGCGGAGGATGAGAAGAAGCTGTTGATGATCAACAGTGTCAAAAGCCGCAGACAGGTCAAGGAGAATTAGGATAGAGTAGTGACCACGAGATTTTGCAGCGAGTAAATCATTGGATACTTTGGTCAGTGCTGTTTCCACAGAGTGCTTAGCGCGGAAACCAGACTGAAGCGGGTCTAGCAGAGAGTTGGACTCGAAGAAGTCTGTCAATCTTGCATACACAATTTTTTCAAGGATCTTGGATGCAAAAGGCAGTAGCGAGATAGGACGATAGTTTGATGGGGAGTTAGGGTCAAGATTTGGCTTCTTTAGAATTGGGGTTACAGTTGCATGTTTGAAGGGCAATGGAAATATACCAGAGGAGAGAGAGAGACTGAGGATTTTAGTGAGAGGTGGAGAAAGAGAAGAAGACAGAGTACGGATGAGATGCGAGGGAATTGGATCTAGGGAGCAGGTGGTGGGGCGGGAGGACTGGAGCAGAGCAGAAACTTCTTCCAATGTTGCGGGTACGAATGAACATAGAACAGCAGAGGGAGTGAAGTTAGGGGAAGTATTGTAAGAGGAAGAAGAAAGATGAGATATCTCTTCTCTGATTGTAGAGATCTTGTCAATGAAGTGAGTTGCAAAGTCTGAGGTGGTTAAGTTAGTAGGTGGAGGAGGAACAGCAGGGCGAAGAAGAGAGTTAAATGTGTGAAATAGTCGTTTGGGTTCGCGGGAGAGTGTGGTTATGAGGGTATTGAAGTAATTAACTTTTGCAGAGGAAAGAGCCAAGCTGTATGAGCTCAGCATAAATTTATAGTGGAGAAAGTCAGATGCACAGTGAGGCTTTCTCCAACAGCGTTCAGCAGTTCTGGAGCATTTTTGGAGGTATCGAGTGAGCTTGGTGTGCCAGGGTTGTTGTTGAGGGGGCCTGCGGCGTTTAAATGTACAAGGTGCCATGATGTCTAGTTGAGAGGAGAGGGTGGAATAGTAGAAGGAGGTTGCAGAACTAGGACAGGTGAGGTTTGAGATAGGTAAAAGGAGAGTTTGGAGATTAGTGGAGAAATGCTCTATGTCAAGACATTGGAGGTTTCTGTGAGAGTGATGTTCAGACGGTGGTGTCAATTGGGTCTTAGGTATGCCAATGTCAAAAGTCAGCAGATGGTGGTCAGATAGAGGAAAGGGGATATTGGAGAGATTAGAGGCAGTACAGAGGTTGGTGAAGGCAATATCAATAGTGTTTCCCACTGTATGGGTTGCTAGATTGGACCATTGCGTAAGGCCAAAGGAGGAGGTTACAGAGAGCAGACGAGAGGCATCAGTGCAATTGGGGTTATTGATTGGGATATTGAAATCCCCAAGTATAAGGGAAGGAGTGCTAGATGAGAGGAAGTGGGGAAGCCAGGAAGAAAAGTGCTCAATGAATAGTCATATGCATAACATTTCTGAATTTCCATAGGATCACTGTGTTTATTTTTGGAGGATATAATCCCTGCAGAAAGACAACTTCAGCCCTCTAATGTTTATTGGTATTCTTAAAAATCTCTGCAAACCATTCAACTGTGAGAATTGATGTACAATAGCCAACTTAGCCCAAATTGGCACCCCAGGGATAGAATGATTGGCAAAGCAGAACTAAATGTCAAGTGTATACTGACAATGGAATGGAACATGTTACCTACTGTCTATACATGAACCCATTTTATTATTTATACAAATGGTTTATGTTTAAAGCACTAGCATAGGCTGTAGCAATTTAAGACTAGAGTAAATATAGGAGACACAATGTTGTTCAGGAATACAATTAAACAAGGATACAGTGCTGTGTGGTATATATATATACATAATATTGTAAGTACAAAAGACACGAGCCATGTTGCAGATTGAATGATAGTCGGATTTAAAAAAAAAATCAAAAATCAGAGAAGTTTTACTACCTAAAGGTAATTGGTGTTTGCAACATGGAGGTTGGTGCAATAGGTGGTGGGTTATTGGAACGTTTGAAAATAATCCAATAAACCAAAGAAATGGCAGTAGGATGCATTCTGGGAAGGGGACAGGCTGACGGAGGCAGTATTATGTTTTGGGCAATATTCTGCGGGGAAACCTTGGGTTCTGGCATTCTTGTGCATGTTACTCTGACAAGTATCACCGACCTAGAGATGGTTGCAGACCACGTACACCTCTTCACCCCTTCACAAGCCTTCATGGCAATGGTATTCTCTGATGGGAGAGGCCTCTTTGAGCAGGATAATGCACTCTGCCACACTGAAAACATGTTCAGGAATGGTTTGAGGAACCTGACATCGAGTTAAAGGTGTTACATTGACCTCCAAATTCCCCAGTACTCAATATGATTGGGCATCTGTGGGATATTCTGGAACAACAAATCCAATCCATGGAGGCCCCACCTCAAAATTTGCAGGAATTAAAGGATATTCTTCTAATAGATGGTTTTAATTTTGTGGGTGATCACTGTAAGACCCACATTCCCATGCAGTCAGTACACTGTAGGTTACAATGTCTGTAATGGAGATCTGAATTTGTCACATGGTTAAATATGCATATACCTGGTAATGTTTATCTTGCAGGCAGGGACATATCACCATTTAAACACACTAAACAATGTAAAATTGGAGAGTGAAATATTCAATTTCTTTCAGAACCACTTTTTTTTTCAAATTAATCAATAGACTCCATACAACATCATTCTGCAGGGTATACTGCAGCTGTATATTTCTTTAGTTTAACTGTGTAATCAATATATTAATTTATTTGATTAATTATTTGAAACAAGTATTTATTAGGAGTGACATAAGGACAGCAAATAAAATGCATTACATAAAGTAAATTTTTGTAGCATCGTGTTTAAAAACAAAATCGATGATAAATAAAATGTGAACTTCTATTAATATCAAGGTGACTAGTTTTATAAACATATAAATGCAAACATACCTACAGAGTGTTTCTTTTAATTATAGACTTATCTATTTCATTATAATTTTGCTGCAAACTGGAAAACAGTGATCTCCAAAATACGTATAAATGATTGCTGTCTACAATGACATCATGTCTGGGAATAATTTTACATCTACTGGTACATGACCTGTGCTGTGTGTACAACTAGAGAGAGGCAGGTAGTTGTGAAGCAGGTGCATTGACATTTGCTCTTACAATTAAACATTTTTAATTAAAAATTTATTTGGGATATACATGTAAATATCTGTAAAACCACTGCATCCCATATTTTTTTTTTTTTTTTTTAAATTCTTTATTTTATTTGTGCATGGAAAAATCACATATAGCACATCCTGCCACAACAGCTAGAACATGCAGCGTTAAACATAGATTCACAGTACTTAGGCTGGGGAAAAAACTTTGCACATTTTTTGGGTTATTAATGCTTGACACAGAGTTATATCCAAAACGATAACTAATAAAATAAGAAGCAGGCTTCACATAATACAGGTTATAATAATAGTAGAGAGTATTGCAAGCTAGGTTTTTACGGGCTTGAGATGCCATGTTGGCAGCAATCATCATTCTAGGAACATATGTCTAGACGGTGTCTTAGCCTGTGAGGAGAGTGCACAATTTTATGGGTGTGATTAAACATACTGAACTATGGATCTACACCTGAGAGCTGAGAAGGTATATGTTAGTATACCACTGGCCTCTGACACCTATTAAACAGCCCCGGCTAATTGTGGTAGATTGAAAATACTATTGGTGCAATGTCGTATGACTAACATATAAACAAGGTAAAACAATATAAAACAATGGAGCGTAATAACGGCACTGGATTCCTGTTCAACCATATGTGTTAGATATCGAGCTAGGCTAGCTAATTTAGGTGTTGCTATGTGTGGCCTAGCGTGGCGAGAGGCCTGTGGCAGCGCAAGGCCCTGTATTTGCCGCTAACCGATGCCTTTTAGTGGGTCTACACAGTCCCGATCAGCGAAACGTCCAGTCAGGCAGGGGGGGTGCAAGGCTTTGTCTGTCCCTGGTGAGCTCCGGTGAGTGCAAGCTTGTGGTATGGTGTTGGCCATAGCCTGGGACAGCGACCCTCCTCCTTGGTGCTTTGCCTTGTGATGTACAAGATCCCTCAAAGGGTTCGTGTTGTGCTGTTGGCGGTAGTGTCCAGCCGACCTCTTCGCTTTCAGCAGTGCTGTAATGATTTGCCTGTTGGGCTGCAGCTGTATGTGGCACTTTAGTTGAGTCGCCTGTGCTGTAGTGGGTCTCCTCCTGTGGTTGCCTCGATGTGGGACTGCTACAGCTGGATTGCGGACTGTCCTCCGCTTCTTAGTGTGAGTCAGTGCTTGTGCGGGTGATGAGTAACGGGAGACCCCGGTGGTGTGTGGTCGCAGTGTGGAGGTTACCCGTTTATGGGCCCCCGGTGCACGCTTATTTTGGCACTTTGAATCAGCCGCCGGAGGTGCGTAGCCTTGCATGCCAGCACGCTGTTGCCTCTCTTCGAGCCTGCACCAGAATGCCTTGAATATTGCATCCAGCTTTGTGAGAGTCTCTTCCCTCGGGCCTCGTGGCATGTTATTAGGACCTGCGCCCGCCATCTTGGCTCCCGCCAATTCGTCCCTCATGAACGTGTGCTGGGTCGGCGGGCCAGTGGGTGGTTAGGAATACGGTGTGAGTGCTGGAGCCGGGATAACCCCCGCCGGCAAGGGGGGGGGGAAGGGAGCTCTTGCTGCGTTCTCGTTTGTCAGCAGGATTGCCAGCAGGAAGATCGGCCGCTTCTTCCACGCCAGCCCCCCTTGTAGGCCGCAGTTGTGCTTCAAGGCTATGCTGCTCGTTTTGCATCTACAAAGCTGCCTGGTGTTGCAGAGATGAAGTCAGCTTGTTACCAATCTTCAGGTATCTGATTTTGATCAGGTAACAGTTCGTAATTAGGGCACTTTTGGCGCTTTTCATACGGAGCACATTCTGCATGCGTCCATTCAGGTTTGCAGCCAGGCCCCGCCCCCTGGGCCTAATTATTAAATATGAAATTATGTTTCTGGTTTCTTTTACAGAATGCATCCAGCATTATTCTCCCTATTCAGCAGCTTATTTTTTTTTTTTTTTTTTAATTCTTTATTTTTGTTGTGCATTATGGGTTACAAACATGCCTGTTATGCCACGACAGCAGTCACAGGAATATCAACGTAAACATAGTCATGACAGGTTTAAGCTGCACATTTTTATAAGTAAGTATGCGTACGAATACATGCGATCCATGTTAAATGAAGGCGAGTTGTTGATAGTTATGCTTATTAACAGGTGGTTGTTCTATGCCTGGCACATTTTAGCAATCATTTGACTTAAACAATTATTAAACTTAGGGGAAACCAGCTTAGACTAGTAGTGTTACACATATATCAGAAATACAGTTTTGCTCATACTTAGATTATTAGGTCCATTTCCTGTCCTAGTGCTTGTTAGATATAATATTATCGAGTTAGTGTGTGTCCTAACATAAACAATAGGCAGGCATCATTATAGGGCATAGCAACCGGTCGATGAATTATAATAGCTTAAGAGAAAGAGAAAAATAAACCAGGCTATGGCATATAAAAACAAAGTAATAGGGTTCTGTCAACGGTAATTGCCTCAGGCTAGTTTTAACATGTAACTCGATTGATATGTGATGGAGCCTATACATCAAAATTGCGCCTTGCCAGATGTGGTGCTTCAGTATTTAAGCGTTTAGTTACAAGCACTTCCCTGGACCCAGATTAACTAGCTATGCCTCCCACCTCCCGAGAAAAAGACACAACATTATTAGCTAGTTAAGTGCAGATCCCCGTATTCCTGACTGGTAGCTGGTAAAAACGACTGAGTTACGAAGAACCCCCTTTATGTTGGCAGTCTCTTATATTTAGACAGTGTTTTATGCTTGCCGCTAGTGTTCAAGGTTGCAGTCATGTTCATGTTCCACCTGTTGCTCCGGTAGGAGTAGTAGTGGGGACGTTGGATCATCCAGTGGGTTGTGGAGCATTGTTGTGCCCATTCGCTTGTAGCCTTGTGGATGTTGTCCGCCTGTTGCGCTTTGCGGCTTGGTGGAGAGACTTTTGCTTTGTGGCTCAATGCTGGTAAGAGGGTGAAGTAGCGTTGTCGCTTAAAGGTCATATGAGTCTCTGCATTAACGGTGCCCCCTGTGAGTTTCTTGCAGTCGAGATGTCGGTTGGTCGTTAGTTGGTGGCGCGGTCTCACCAGGGGTGGCTGTAAGTGGTTAGCCTTTTTTTTTTGCTTGATTGCTGTAGTAGTGGCTTGTTGCCTGCCATAATAGACGTCGGACCAGCTTGTTCCCGGCGGTCTCTTTGCTCCCCTCAGGATCGTGGAAAGGGCATACCCTCCTTCTGTCCGCCGCCATTTTAGTTGAGGCGTTTGGGCCACGAGGCTGGGTGGCAGTGCTGTTGGCCCCCGGGTTGTGCTGCTTCGGTCTGGGTCCCAGGGTGCGGACCGGGATCACCCCCACCGGTCCAGGGGGGGGGGACAGGGCCAGATCCACCCGGCTGCCGTCCTCTGGTTGGGTCTGTTAGGCAGGATAGTGGAGCAGCGGCCGTCCGCCCCACTCACTGCCGGAGTAGGCCCAAATTAGGGTATCAAGGGTCTCTCCTCCTGGGGACTGTAGCTTGAGGAGCCAGCCTCACCCTGGATCCAGTGTCCCCTGTACACTGAGGACAGGCGCTGGCAGTCCTTGGTATGGTTAAAAACGTTCTTTTTGTGGCTATTTAGTTATTAATTTGTAGGAGCTGAGCTGCCATGCTGCCTTCCAGCTCGGCGGTCCGGCCCCGCCCCCCTGCATCCCATATTTTGTAGATTTTCAGTGTAACTGGAATCTGTTAAGTGGTTCATTGGTTGTGTACAATGCTAAGGTCTGTCAATTGGAAAAGTGTTAGAATACACAAGGACAGCTACACTTCCCGTAACAGGAGGGAAGAGAGAGTGGGTGGGAAACTGACTTATTCAGAACATTCATATTTTTCTTGGATTCATTTTAGCATTTTGAATAACTCTTTCCATAAATTACATTTTATGAAAAATATCAGAATTGTAGAATTTTACTAGATACGAATCGTGCATTTATGTTTAGCTTGTGTGTTTTACAGGATTGGTGAATGAAGTATTGTTGTAACCAGTGTATTTGATAAAAGTGTAAACAAAGGAATGTGTTTTCCTGCTTTTAAGATGAATACGGATCCCTTAGTCTAATGGATGACAGGTAATGCAATGCTAACAGTGACTCAGACTATTTCATAGTCTTCATTGTTTTTCTTAATTTCATATAGTAACTAAAACGCGTTTTTGGGCAGCAAAAAAATGTCCTTTTTTAATTTTTTTAAGTGAATTCATTTATTTAGCTACACCAGAGTCTTTTATGAAATAAAGTCTTTAATGAAATAAAGGTTTATACAAGGTCAGCGTTGTGTATGTTAGTGTGCGTGTGTGTATTTTAAAATTAATAACTATAAAAGTCAAATGTTTAATGTCTGTCTGACTATGTCTCATGTTATAGAGAGAGTTATTTACTAAGTGAAGGATTTTAGTGACATTTTAACTTAGAATCTTTGAATTACTAGATCTCTTCCTTCAAAACTAGTCACAAAATCACCAATACTACTATATATATATATATATATATATATATATATAAATATATATACACACACACACACGACACCCAGATTGCTGTCAGTCCATCTTTGGTCATTAAATCACCAGAATGTTCTGGAACAGACCCAAAACAGACACATTCCCCAAATAGTATTTGAATTGTTGGGAATATTGGGGGGGCAGAATGGGGGAGATTAGACAGGGAAGTAGAGATAGAGCTAATTTTTTCTGTAAACAAGCCAACATTGAGTGCAAGAGAATACTGGCAATAGACATTAACTCTATAACTTGATCTTTGGTGGGCCACTACTCAGTTCTTAAGCTAGTTTGAGTTTAGCTTATGCCATTACAGAGGATACCTGGATCATTTGCGATGAAACTGATCCTACCCCAAAAGACAGTTCAGATCTGAAATGCCTGCTGGTTCCCTCTGCACAAGAGATGTGATCTAGTAACTCCTGACAGTGGGACTCGTTAGTAAGGTGTTTGCAAATCATCCTGGGTCTCCCTAAGGTAAAAGGGTCATCAAAAAATGGATGCCTGGCGAGGTGTCAGCCATACCTCACTGATAAGGTTCACCAAGGTCAAAATTCTCATCTGGGGCCACTGTATCTGTCATGCAGAAGGAGCTAGCATTTTCGGTCTGGATTGCCCATTTGTGTGGAAACAGTTTGATATGTAAATGCTTTAGGTTCTCCTCATAACACATGAAGCTAAGCTAAAACTAGATTTAAGGCTGAGTGAAGACCCAAGGAAATGGAAGTTATTTGAGACGTTGTCTGCTCTCTGTATTATCTTTCTTTCTGTTTGGTTTGTTTAACTAGAAAGCTCTCTCTTTTGTAAGAGCAAGTACAGAGCTTAGGGCATTAGGCTATAACATCATACTTCGGAGATCTAAGTCTCTACCATAATGGTTAATTGAGAAGTGACATTAGAGCCAGGTCTCTCTGTCTTCGGGGTTTCTGATGTCCTGCTACCCCACTAGGTTACTAGACTCTGCATTTTTCTCTTTTTCTTGAAGCCAAGAAATGTTGGACTTACAAGTGTAACATTCTCTCCCCAGAAAGATATACAGTAGATATGGCTCAGATCCATCTACTTATAGAACTCTGGCCTTTATAAGGTAAATTCATGCAAACTTCAGAAGTTCATTTGTGACCTAGAATATATCAATAGGGCAAACAGCCTTTTTCTACAATAAAATGAGCTTACATTTAATGACTTCTATTTTTAGTAAATAATGTTAATTAAAAAGGTCTATTACGGTTTTTCTGTTCTGTGCAAATAGGTTAAAAGGCCTCCTAAGAGTCTTACAAATGGGACCTGCCGAAAGCGAGATTACGCTTGGAGCAGTAGATTTAATAATTAAAAAAAAAAAAAGAAGCTAATTCTTTGAAAACTCTAGGGCATGGAGTCCAAAACTGGGTTCTCAAGTGCAACTGTCCTGATTGTCTAGTCAATGCATACCTCAGCGAAACAGTACAGAGCTGATTCAAGCTGGGATAAATATTAGTCACTTAATCCATTGTGTACCTGCTGACAAGTCTTTTCACTCATCTGGTGCTCAGGGGTTTCCTAACCAGTGGAAAAAATGAAAATACTATACATTCGATGCCCTCAATTTCTAACCTTGAGGACCTTACCTTAACTGCTTTAGAGCAATTAGAACAAAGGAGCAAAATAAATATCATAAAATGTCTATCTATCTATCTATCTGTCTGTCTCTCTCCTGTGTAAATATCACAAAAATATCTATATCTTTATCTGTCTATCCATCTGAAGACCACAAAATGTGTCCGTCCATCCGTCCGTCCGTCTATCTATCTATATGTTTGTTGTCATATCCTGTTACGTGCTCTGTGTTGTATTTCCAGCTCATACAAAACTATCAGCTTAATGGACCTGTGGTCTTGTGAGATGTGTACTATGGTAATTG